TGCCAATTTTGTTGGCAACACTGCCGTATTTGGAGTCGTTTACCATCCAGAGTCAGTAGGTATTGGATTAGCCATTGATTGTATTCAAAACTCGCTTGCACTTTATTCGGTGGAATACGAATTGTTGTTTTTGGTGGGTGACCTTAACATTAACTGTCTGTTAGACATGGTAGCACGACTACCCCGCGCTGTCTCAGTGTGTTAACCGAATGTTTCAACCTGCACTTGGCAACTCGAATCACACCAACTTCCAGCACTTTAATTGATTTAATTTTGTCTAGAACTAATCTGAAGCCATTGACGGTTGAGGTGACTCATAATGATAATCTAAGTGACCACGGTCTTGTATCCACAAAATTTCCCATTATGTACAGTAGACCAAAGCCTCGCAAAATCACTTTCAGATCATTAGACATAAATGCGGACGCTATTAATAATGCTATTATTTATAACGTCCGCATTTATGTCTAATATACACCCATACCTTATAAAATTTACACCCTGGGACTGTGTCTTAACGCATACTGATATTAACAATATGGTTGACACGTTTAATGCTCTTGTGTTGGACTTAGTTGATACATTTGCCCCTGTTCAAACTCGCATATTTAAGCGGCCTCCTACGCCTTGGGTGACCGATACACTCAAACAAATGAGAGCAGAAAGAGATAAAGCATGTAAACGAGCAAAAAAGACTAAAACTGATTCTAGTCAACAATATTATCGTGAGCTACGTAATTTTTATAACCGTACCTTGGTCGCTGAAAAACGAGCTTATTTTACGCAGATCGTAAATAAGAATATAAACAAACCTAATGTTATGTAGCGTCATATACCCACCTAACCACAAATAGTAAAAACAATACAGTGCCTAGTCATCTGGCGGAGCTTGATGCTTTAAACTCTTATTTCTGAAATAGTATACCACAAAAACAAAAGACTGAAACTCGGGAATGTGATTCACACAGACGTAATGAGTCGGAATTTAGCTTCACGTTGGTAAATAACATGATGGTAAATAAAATTATTTCCGCAGTAGCGTCCTCTAACTCAAAAGGAAGTGACGGAATATCGAAGCTCATGTTGCAGTTAACCCTCCCATACTCCGTGCCTGCAATACTTGCTATAGTAAATAAGTCGATCACAGAGGGAACCTTTCCGGATGGCTGGAAGTGTGCCATTGTAACTGCGATACCAAAAACTTCAGCGCCTGATAGTTATTCAGATTTGAGACCAATTAATATTCTTCCAGCATTGCCGAAGGTAATTGAAAAATGTGTTAAAGTGCAATTAGTATCATTCTTAGAGAAAAGTAAAATTTTACCTTCAACACAATCACGGTTCAGGAAAAACCATAGCACGGTGTCCGCTCTTATGAGTATAACTGATGACATCCTTGGTGCGTCTGATGCAGGCCAGGGAACAATATTGGTGCTACTTGATTTCAGTCGTGCATTTGACTGTATAGATATTCCAACGTTATTGCTGAAACTGAAGAATTGCGGTATCTGTACGCAAGCCTGTGCCTGGTTTCGATCATACTTTCAGGGCTGCAGTTAGAGAGTGCAATGCCTAGACACACCTAGCAAGTTGATGATGTCAGCGCAGCTGTTTTTGGAAAGGGGCGTAATCCAAGGGTCAATTCTGGGTCCAACACTATTCTCGATCTATACGGAGAGCATAGTAAAGGTTGTAGAACACTCGCAACTTCATTTGTACGCTTATGACAGTCAGATTTATGTCCATACTATACCCTTTGTCGATGAGGTTCACGTTGCCACTGCCAAACTGAATAGGGATTTGGAAGCTATTAGAGACTGGTCTTTGAGGCATATTCTTGTTCTAAACCCTAAGAAAAGTGTGGCTATTACGCTTGGAACAAAATCTCAGATCCAGAAAATAAAAAGAAGCGAACCCGATTATCAAGGTTTATGACGCGGTGATTCCTAGCGAGGGTTTTGTACGCAATCTCGGGTTGGTAATGGACGAGAACCTAAGGTTTGAGCACCACGTACGTAACTAAATGGGTTTATGTTTCGGAACACTCAAAAAGTTATATCAGCTTCGAACATTCCTGAGGAAAGAAATTAGGTTGTTATGTTGTAATAGTTTGGTACTATCGCATCTAACTTACTGTGACATTGCTTATGCTCCTTGTCTATTTAAAAAAACTGCTAAGATTGTGCAGAGGGTTCAAAATGCGTGCGTGCGGTTCTGTTACAATGTCCCCAGGAGACACCATATTACACCAGTTTTAATTGAAAAAAATATACTGAGTATGTCCAAACAATATACCTTGAAATATGCGTGTTTTCTGCACTGGTTGCATTATTTTAAGTCACCTGCCTACCTTTATGATAAACTTTCTCCAAAAAACATCAAATGCAAATCTCTAAGGGATAGGGGATACCAGCTAAATGTTCCGAAACTGAGGTTCGTTGGTGCTAGAGGCTGTTTTAAGCATGCCGCAGCCAAAATATGGAATGATTTACCACCGCCAGTTCGATCGTCGTTAAATCACTCGTTGCCGACGTTCCGCAAAAAATGTTGCGACTGGCTGCTCCATAAGCAGTCACTGGCACTAACTGACTACAAGTTTGTTTAATAAAAGGCCCTTTCAAAAACTACATACACGTTAAGATTTTATTTTACTGTACAAAAGTTTTGATTTTATTATCATTTTAAGATAAGATACTACTTAATACTATATGTAGACTACCATGCATGAATGTTTAGGCTATGACATAATATCAGGGTATGTGGGTCTCCTACATTCACTGAGCCATAGACCATTTTGTCTCCAACTAGCATAAGAAGATTTGTTTATGTTGAAGAATTTGTAATGTTTTGAGACAAATAAAGACTTTTATTATTGTTATTATTATCTAATATCGAGTAGCAGAACTAGGAGAGCTCTCTAGAAAATGCCATGCGAACTCTCCAGTGCCATCTAGTATCAGTCAAAGGAAAGAATTTTCTACGCTTAGTCGGTTGGGATCAGTATGTGCTCGAACACACTGTTTCAGTGAAAAAGGCCTATATAAAGCCAGTAAAAAACCGCGGCCGAATTACTGAATTGGTATGAACTCGGTTGAATCGGCGATTCAAGTGAAGACTTCAGAGCGATAAAACTGTGAACTAAAGGGTTAAGTGTGATTAATTATTAGTGTGTTTTACGTTTTAATTGGTGTTCGGTAATTAAAGTGTCAATTTTGGTAATTCAATCGACAGTTTTTATTGTCCCGAACCTTAAGCTCGTAACAATTGGTGTCGGAAGGGGGATAAAATCATGCCAATTTTAACTAAGGATGAAATGGAGGGTTCGTACCCGTAGCCGACGTCAGCAGGAAACGGACCAGAGACGATTTGGTGGTGTAACGCCGCAGAATTCGGCGGGACAGCCGCCGGCCACACACAACACTGGAATAAAAGTCAGGCCACGACTGCTCTCACACTAGACCTGCGCGACCAGGCCTTAACTGTTCTGGAAGCTCTCGGTAAGGAAGTGACTAACGAGCAGCTCCTTGAGGCATTGGAGACGAAATATGGCGACGCTCACCTGGAACACGTCTTTCTTGCGCAGCTTAAGGATCGGAACCTGCAGCATTGGGCCCCTGAGGTGGAGAAGCTGGCTCGAAAAGCATATCGGTCTGTACCTGCGATCATTGAAGGGTACCTGGTGCAGAAATTTATCAACGGCATCCGCGACCTTGAAGTCAGAGCTTCTGTGAGGCTTGGGCACCACGAGATGCTTAAGGGTACCTTGGCCCATGCATTGGAGGTGGAAGCTGTGCAGCAGGATCATCGTGCCCATCGCAGCCCATCAGGGAGGGTGTAGCAGCAACAGTTCGTGACCGCAATAAAAGATACAGCCCTAGGTGCTATGGTTGTGGGGAAAGGGGCTATCTTTGATCCAGCTACCCTAAGAAAACTGTAGGACGGTAAGGTGATCGATCTTGAGAAGGTAGTACGGCTAACAGCACCGCCCAGCAGCAGCAGGGAAACGAGTAAAAGCCAGGACTGCGGGGCAGGGTTGCTGGCTGATGTTAAAAGAGCCGCAAAGATCTCGATCTCACAAACTCATAATGGGAACAGCTTAATCATCAAGGGCGTGGTCCACGAAATGCCTTGTAAACTGACCGTAGACACTGGAGCCTCTCGCACGGTAGTCAGTTCCCAACTTATAAGTCAGTTTCGTGGGGACTGCGCAAACAGCCGAGAACGCATTAATTTGGTAACAGGCACTGGTCAGCGTATAGCTGTCCGTGGAGAGAAGGAGATGAAGTTGAAACTGAATGGAATTTTAAAAACCGCAATATTTCCCAGTTTACCGATATTAGTAAAATTTTGTTACATCGGCAGCCTTCAAGGTACGGACGTGTCCACCTTATGCCTGCGCGTAGACAGCGACGACCATCCCCGCATCTACGGGTGCCTCTATGGGTCCCATAGCAGCAACGTCGACACGGACCAACTCATCGACCAAAATGTATGCAATCGTACAAATGGTTGCAGACTCCGTGCTACAACAAGTCCCTTCCGCATCGTGATGCATGGTGATTTCAACGCACACCACACTGAATGGCTTGGTTCTCGTTTAATGGATCATGCGGGTAGATCTGTATATGACTTTGCTTTAGCATATGGTCCGACAGAACTGGTTACCTCGTCTACCCTATTGCAGATGCGGAAGATCATGTACCTTCCCTGTTGGACCTTCTGCTGACCTCTCATCCCGACGGATATCAGTTCTCCGTCGATGACCCTCTTGGTCTCAGACCATTGTCTGATCCAGAATACGGTGCCGCTCAAACTCCTATCGCGGTAAATGTCAAAATAGATGCGTTTGACATTTATAGATGTGAATTGACATGTTAGTAGCTACATGGGCGACACCCATTCTTTTGTGCATTAAAATGTAATATTTTATGTCAAATAGTGTTTTCTATTGGCTTGCTAAACAAAAATATATTTACTGTGGCTATGTTGTAATTTTGCAGGTCATGATGGGCATGGTACCTGTGCAAGTGTACGCGAAACAGATTTTTACTCAAGCAGCCCCGAGTCTTTCGTCTCACTTATGTTCCGTTATGTTAGCTGTGGTCCTACTCGTTGGAAGTTTTTCAAGTCTTGTGATGGCTGATAAATTTGGAAGAAAGGCACGTAGCTATCTTTTAAATCATAATTTCGTCATCCTCATAATTTCAGCTTTTAAGTGACTAATAGATATTAAGCATATCGCCTTTGTGTTGTTCATAGATTAGTTAGTTAGAGTGTTTTGTCCGCTAAGCGTGATACTACATGAAACTCGGTTGAGTTTAAGATCCATTTGTTATTTCAATCATCAGCCAGTAACATTTTACAACTAGAAATTAGGCCTTTTTCATTATAGGGAGAATTTGCTTTCATCGATACGTTTATAAGGTGGATTGAGGACCAGAAATCTAGCAGATTTGACGCTGCTTTTTGCCGTTGGTCTGGATATTTTACGTCTGGCGCAAACGAGATAGTTCCAACACTATTTATTGAAAGCCAATTAGACTTTCGTACCATCCAGTATCGGTGTTGGGATACATACAACTACTAGAATATATGTTCTCCTGGGTGTGATAAGAGGCGACGCGGGGAAACTAGCTAGGAGATGGGCAACAGCGTCTTCTTCATAGCAACTGTGAAAAAAATACTTGCACTTATGAGGCAATATTTGAAGAAATGTTTATGTTTATGTTTGACTGACTATATATGTCTTTGATAGTCTGTCAATAATGAATGCATGAATGAATTAGATTTTTCTGGATTTCTTCATAGTCACCTCTTAAAACACCGTCCCGTAGGTGGCCGAATTCCAGTATGAGTTCTCTTACGCTGCCTATATACAACTGTAATTTGATAATGATTTTACGTTTTATTTTTCAGTTCCTTTTGATAACTTCATCGATATTGGTAGCACTTTGCCTCAGCTCTATGGGCATATTCCTGCAGACCGGTATTGTGCCACCGTGGGTGACTGCAGTGCTCATCCTCGTGTACTGTTTCTCCTTTATGTTTGGAGCTGGTAGCATACCTTACGTATTGATCGCTGAATATTTTATGCCAGAGGTAAGTATAATTAATTTTTAATTGTTAATAGAGTCGTGTAGGTCAGCCAAGAGCACGTGAAGAAACCGAGTTTGATCTCATCGGCAGTACGAGGCTTTCACTCAGAAACCTTTCTCTATGGACCGTCAGTACTTCTTTGTAGTAGATCATAATATAGCTTTTTACGAGATCCACGGGCGAGATTGTGATCGATTTTTTTATATTGCCTTTACACTGCAATTTGGCGTTTTGGTTGCAGTGCTGTTTAGCCGCGGGTTCGAATTCTGCACAGAACAGGTATTTTTATGGTCTACAAACTATTGTATCAGGTCTAGTTGTTTTTTGTGCAATTTATGTATGAAAACACCTCTGTAATACAGGAAAAATCTAAGTTTAATGGTAAATGTTGCCTGGAAGAGACCGTTTTCAGCGCTTTTGTTTAACTAATTAAAGGTAATTTTTTACTAGACAGTGCGACGTAAAGAAGGGTAATGTGTTTCATCATCAACATGACAGCCCACTGCTGAACATAAGTCTCCTCTCACAAAGCACGGTCCTGAGTCACCTGCATACATCGACAATGTCGACGACGTTGTCGGTTCTTCGAGTTATATAGCCGGCCCATTGCCACTTCAGCTTACTAATCCGCTATGTATCGAGCTATTAAGAGGGCTATGTTCGGGGTTTCTCTGCGTGAAAAACTTATAAATAAAGATATCTGCAGTAGAAACTGCAGAGTGACCGATAAAGATCTTATACAATCATATTATCATCAGGTCTTATTAACGTGAAAAGTGGTTTTTAAATAGAGAAAAATATAAAAGTAGTTAACCGGATTTCATAAAGGGTAGCGTGACCATATCAAGTCGATAGTAAAAGCCTACCTCTCCGCTTCGTGTTGGAGGTGTGCAAAATGGATTAAAATAATATTTATTATTCACATTACTCACATTTTCAGGTACAAAGTTTAGCGACTATACTACTAATGGAATTGGTCTGGCTTTTCAACTTCTTTATCATTGGAGTCTTCCCTTTTATGATCAAATACATCGGTATCCACGGCTCTTTTTACACGTTCACTTGCTGCGCAGTCATTGATAGTTTCATCGGCTACTTCGTCGTACCTGAAACAAAAGGTCTCACCAAAGATCAAATACAAGAAAAATTTTTAAGAAGGAAAAAATAAGACAAATTATTGTAATTTTAGAAATAATATTAAGGGCAGTTTTAATAAATCTCTAATTAATTTCTTGTTGTGTAGTATATTAGGCATTAAAATATTGGAATGTTTATGATTTTGTAATTATGTATATAATAATTTGGGATGTAAAAACTTAATATAAAATTGTATAATTGATTTGTAAAATGTTTTAATGTTTTTATTTAAGGAAAAATAAATGTATATAACCGTGTGTAAAGTTAACACAAATATGTTAACATGTATGTTAACAAAAGTAAATCGCCCATGATGAGAAAAGTCTAATATTACTATCCTCAAATCCATTGATCCTGGTAGCAAGTAAAGAGTACCCGTTGAGAGTCGCTTGTCACTCAGCGGCAATCTTGCACTCGAATCATTTTTATTATTTAAATATTATCGTCATCATCATCATTACAAACATAAGAGTCTCTCACGAACCCACTGCTGAACGTATGTCTACCTATGCGTGGACCACTCAAAAGAAAAAATGCTTAAAGGTTAAATCTTTTACTATTAAATCTTTTCAAAGAACTCTACACAAGCGTTTCAAGTATCTGAACAAATTCTCGCAAAATTCTCTGCGTGGCTTGTCGTATTTATAGATCTGCACGGAACCGAAGCCATTTTAAGTGACGTCGAACTCATAATAAGAGTAAGTCAAAAAGAGTTCTCAGTCACCCGGTGATTATGGGTGCTGTAAAGCATCCGAAACGACGGTAATTAAAAATAATTTAAAATAGTTAATTAAACGCAATAAAATCCGTAAATATAGTTTTATTCAATGAGTAGGGTTCACGTAAATTTAAGAAATCATTAAGTCAAAAAGAGACAAAGAGTAGATCAATAATTTGTAGAGAATCAAGAAAAAAATCATAAAGCGGAGGCCGTGGGGTTAAATACTTGGTAGCACCACTGTTTCGGTCGTTAAGAGAAGGGGGAACAATGCATCATAATGTCTACATGACACATTATGCACATTTACCATTCTTATACTACTTAAAAACTTAAAATTTTAAAGTCTACATTTTAAAAAAGCTACGCAAAGGTCAAATAAATTCCTTTAACTTTATATCTTAATTTTCTTCTCAATTTATAATTCCGTATACAATTTATAATGCGGTATTTGGTTCAACGTCGCCGCTTATTTAGATTGAATTCAAGTTGAAGCTTATTTCGACGAGTTATCAGGATCGGGTTAACTTTGGCCCGGATTGTTTGGGTGACTTCAAGATTAGTAGAGTCTCGGGTTTGTTGGAACTCGGGATAGAGGATCAACTAACAATAATTGAACTTCTTCAACAGGTTTAGTGTAACGTTACTTACATAAATACGAGAATATAATGTATACACCAAAATTCAAAATTGTTTTGTTAAAACAGTGAGTCATTCATCAAATCCTATTATTTTTATATTATACATGATTAAAACTACTATTACGGATTTTATCGCGTTTATTTTTACTTTTATTTTTAATTCCCGACGTTTCGGGCGCTTTCCAGCACCCATGGTCACGGGGGACTGAGATGACTGACGTCCCGATGTCATTTTTAAACCCGGAGTACCTTCAGCTTTTTTAATTATTGTTTATGGTCCGATCTATGCAAAATGAACTGACTATGTCCTGAGGTCTTGCAGTGGTATGCTTGGGTTTAGTTTTAATTTTATTGATTATAGGATCCCAAGCAGGTGGTAGTACCCAGCCTCCTTCTCTATTGAAATTAGGATGTTTTTTTTTAATTTCAATAGCATCCCATATCATCCTTGGTAGGGATCGGTGTTCTTTCGCGAGGATTTGTGGTCTATCAAATCTGATGTAATGGTTGGGTCCGTCTAGGATATGATCACAAACTGCAGACTTCCCGGAACGTTGATGCTTCACATCAGCTATATGTTCTTTTACGCGGGTCCTAATTGATCTTTTTGTTTGTCCTATATAAGAGAGACCACATTCACAATCAAGCTTGTACACTCCTGCATCTTGTAGAGGAATATGACACTTGACGGATGGTAGGAACTGACTAATCTTCTTCGGCGGCTTGTAGAATGTTCTAATAGAAGCTCGCTTCAAGATATAGCCAATCTTGTTTGTGACACCTCTGACATATGGTAGTACAGCAGGCACACGCTCGACTGTGGCCGGCTTCACTCGGTCACTGTGACGTAGGCGCGGGACCCGAAGCTTGTTGTCATGCAGAACTTGCTTGACGTGCTGAAGCTCGGCAGCCAGGTGTTTGCTGTCACAGATCCCTCGTGCTCTCTGTAACAAAGATTTGCCCACGGTAGCTAACTGTGAAGGATGGTGGTGACATTCACCGTTTAAATATCGGTTTGTATGGGTCCTTTTCCTATACACAGTCGGGAATTAAAAATAAAAGTAAATAAAAAGTAAAAATAAACGCGATAAAATCCGTAAAAGTAGTTTTAATCATGTATAGTGTTCGCGTAAATATAAGAAATCATTTTATATTATAGTTCACTTGTGAACATAGGCCCCACAAAGTCAGCTCCATAGAGGGGTTTTGCCACAGTTGCCATGTAGGCAGACGGGCTGGCAACCGAAGTCTTTTTTAATTTTGAGTTGTTATTAGGAATATGCTGGTGCCCATATCCTGTTTAAGTTTTCCTTTGTCATCTCTTAAGACACCCAAGGGGCTGTATGGGTTTGTGGATATTCTTACGCCGCAACCACACACTACTACACAAAAAACTCATATCATTTTGTAAATATTAGGAACAAACACAAGCTATCAGTCAAAAAAGTAAAGTTACAGCCTATATACGTGCTACTGCTGGGCACAGGCCTCCCCTCATTTTTGAGAGGGTTTTAGGGCAAGGAAGTGTCCGCCGCGTGTGCCTACCCCAATGCGTGTTGGCGAACTTCACATAACTTCGAAATATTTTTTTCTTGTTGTGTCTTGCCGAGCACGTAGTAAATCAGCACTTAAAATTGCAATTAACAATTTCATTTGTGCTGGCGGGGACCCGGGTTACTCGCGTTCTGTTATATTTACAGCGCGCCTTAACCATCTGAGCTACAACGGCTCTTCGCTAAGCTATCAGTTACTTTTTAATAACTCAATTCATAGAGTCAATGCTAATGAAAGTAATAAATTCATGATCTCGCCTACTTGACATCCAATATACCTACGCATAGATGCTAGTTGGTTGAGGGTACTCTTAACAGTATCCCTATCCTTGATAAAGATACAATAGTTTCTCGAAATGTTCATATGATTCATGGGATAGGGAAAGGGTTAATTGAGTCCATATCAGATCGTTATCGCGCGAGGTGATCGCCAATTGTAATTGTAATCTTTTTTGTTTTCCTTGTAACACTCGCTGTTAAAAAAAGTTTCTGTGAAAAATACACGAAGGACCTGTTTGTTTGGCGTTCTAATAATTGTCGTGGGTCTGAAAGTTTGTATTTATATATGAAAAATGCCCCCACGTTATATAAAATAATTATATAGCTGATTTCTTCTTAAATATTTTTATAATGATTTCTTATATTTACGCGAGTACAACACACTTAAATAAAACTAGTTTTTTACTGATTTTTAGGATATTAATCGAGTATATTAACTTATTTCAAACATTCGAAACAGCCTAGATTGAATGCGATACGAGACGAGAGTGGCTGTATTCTGAATGATGAAGTGTTGAGTCTAAAGAGATGGAAGTAATATTTTGAAAGCGTATTTATGAGTGAGGAGACATGTAAACTAAATGAAATAGAAATTCCGAAAGAAGATGAAAGAGATAGGGAGATAAGTATAGATGAAATAATGAAAGTACGATATATATAGAATTATGAAGACGAGTGAATGCAGGAAATAAAATAAATGGGGCTCTACACTCTATTGTGAAAAGTCAGAATGTGTCAAAAAGGGCACGTATGGCAATTCACAATACTGTATTAGTCCCTACTTTAACGTATATTAGTGAAAGTTGGGTGTGGCAGAAGAAACACGAGAGTAGAATAAATGCAGTAGAAATGTGGTCGCTAAGGAGTATGTTAGGGCTGAATCTGAGTGACAAGATGAGAAACTGTGTGATAAAAGAAGAGTGTGGTTTGCAAGATGATGTGGTGACCAGGATTAAGAAATGAATGCTTCGGTGGTTTGGTCATGTAGAAATGAATGAATGAGGAAAGACTGACAAAGCAAATATATGTTGCAGAAGTGAATGGAAGAGTCGGAAAGGGACGTCCTAGGCGGAAGTTTGTCGACCAAATTGGCGATATACTAAAAATGGGCCAAATTAGGAGTACCCTTAACCGACGAGCATGTATGCGTAGGTATATGGATGTGGAAAAGGCGGGAGAGGTATGTCAGGATCGTGCTAAATGGAAGTCTGTAGTCTCTGCCTACCCCTCTGGGTGACAGGCGTGAGTGTTTATGTATGTTTATGTATGTATATTAACTTATTTTATATTCTCTTTACAGCACATATGGTCACGGGGGAGGACTAAGGTGAAACGACGCAATGTCACAATCTCTATTTGAAAGTTAATATACGCGATATAATCCGTAAAACTAGTTTCATCAAAAATATTTTTATAGAATTTGGGTGACAACGAGCACACATATCATGTGATGGTAACTGGATGCTATGCTAATAGACATCCTGACCTTTTCTCAATTAGGAATCAAAATGTAAATGCGTTAGCCTCCTGAAGCATAAGACAGAATGACTTGTTACCAGTAAAAAACGGTTGTCAGCTCTTTATAATAAGAAAAAAAGCAGTTATAAGCTTAAAATTTATGTTGGTATTCTGTGAGCGCATAATCCTTCATTACCGAACTTTTGCTGCAACCATAATTGCTGAAGCGTGACTTTATCACCTTAAACTTTTACAAGTAAAACAACGAGAAAAATGGTTTAAAAATCCGATTGCGTAAAGAAAACTTCACCTCACTTTATTGTAAAGGCAGACGCTATATATAAAAATTATATAGCCTACTTTTCTCCCACACTCAAGACGA